GCTATGCTGGCCGTATCCAATTAGTGAATAGCATAATCTGCTCAATCACTCAATACTGGATGCTCAACTTTCCCCTTCCCAAAGATGTGCTAAAAAAGATAGACACTATTTGCAGGATCTTTATCTGGACCGAAAAGAATGATGCTAGTAATAAGAGCTATGTCGCGTGAAAGAATATGTGTAAGCCTAGAAAACAAGAAGGCTTAGGAATTAAGAACCTAACTGTTTGGAACCAAGTTGCCTTGCTCAAGTGCCTTTAGAATATCAACAATAAGAGTGATAGCCTTTGGGTCAAATGGATACATAAGGTGTATCTGAAAAATTGTGATGTCATGGAAGCTATTGTGGGGCAAAACTGGACGTGGACTATGAGGAATATTATGAACCACATAAGTAAGGTCACTCTAATCCAACAACATTGGGACCAAATGCTTCTGCATCATAAGTTTTCCATGAAAGCAGTGTATAAATTGCTGATTGATGACTTGAGTAGGAGTACTTGGAGCAACTTACTTATGCATAATCATGCAAGGCCTAAGGCCAAATTTACTGTTTGGCTTTTGTGTCATGGTAAGCTCCCTACTAAAGATAGACTATTGCGCTTTGGAATTGTTCAGGAAAGCCTTTGCAGTTTGTGTGGCTTGGAGGAAGAAAATGTTAATCATATTTTCTTTAACTGCTCTAAAACTTCTACTGTTTGGATGGCTATCTTAACTTGGCTGGGGATCAACCATAAACCACTACATTGGTTGGATGAGTTAAAGTGGATTTTGGCTAGTACAAAAGGCAAGGGTTGGCGGGTAACTGTGCTCAAAACGGTGTTTATTGAAGCAATTCATGAGACTTGGCTTCTTAGGAATGCTACAATTTTTGATAGTACTACTTATAGGAACAACTCGGTAGAGAAAATTATCGATTGTATAGTGTATAGATGTTGGGGAAATAGGAAGATTAGGCCAAATATTGCTAGATTAATGATTTAGCCTTTTTGTAGATTTTGCTGGCTGAATCTGTTGAGATTGCCTTGATTGGTTTTACTGCCTTTTGAATTAATATACAGCATTTTGGTTTAAAAAAAAAACAGCCAAACTCATTATATATGTATTTCTAAAAATAAAAATTAAAAGATACTTTAATAAATTTTTCAACTACTTCTTGAACAACACCTTAGCTTTGATCTTCTTCTTTCTAATTTCATCAACAACAAAAAACTGACATAAGAAATAAAATAAAATAGTTAAAATATTAAACAACACAAAATAAATATTGTATAACTTTACCTATGATATTGGAAAATTTAATAAAATTGAATACCGGAGTAGAGAATTTGTAGAGAAATAATAATGATTGATGATGAGAAGAAGAAGATGAGTAATAATGGAAGAAGAGGAGAAATGGGAAAGGGAAGAGAAGGGAAAGAGGTGGTTTGGGAACAAAGAAAACTGAATTTATATATAGAATTTTGCGTCGTGAAAACCATGAGGCAAAAATATTTCAAAAAATTTTGAAACTCTCCAAGTGAAAAAAGTAGAAAGATTGTTGGAGAGTCTTTATTATTTATGTTGCGTCATGATTTTCACGGCACAATAATTTTTTTCAAAATCTTTTCCCTTACACCAACTTAAAAAGCTGAACACTAGGGGTGGCAACGCGGGCGGTCCATCCCATTTAGGCCCGTCTCGTTTAAACCCGTCCAAAAGTAAGGCGGAGCAGGATAGGTCAACGTAGGTGTTCGAGCTCAAAAGTCAAGTCCGTTCCTTTACTAACGAGATGGCGGATTGGGGGACTGGCCCGCTAATTTTTTATTTTTTTTATTTTACAATTTGATTTAATACATAATTTAGAAAAAATTTAATTATTACTAAAGAGGTCGATAAAGAAATTTTTTTAACAAAGCATAATAGAACTTTAAGATGTCTTAAATTCAAACAATTCAAAAAATTTAATAAATAAAGTCCAATTACAACAAAAAAACAAAATAAACTCAAGCACAATAAAGAATATCAAAATAAATAAACAATACATATCATCTTAATCCTATTTAAAAACTAACTACTAAAAGAACCCAATTTAGAATTTACACAAAACCAACAATGATAACAATAACATTACATAAAACATTACAATGCGTAAAATATCAACACCGAACTTTCTCACTGGTTACATTATATAAACTCTTATATTGATCGATTCTTTAATAGTTAAATCTTAAATTTGTCACATGTATACACTAATCAAATCCTTCTTTTTCATAACATCAACATCTATTTCTAAAGAAAACATCTGAGCTAATATATTGAAAACTTAATAATAATGCATGTCATACATTTGTTCTTTTATTTTAATCATTTTAAATCAACGCATGTATTAGAAAGTTATAGAAAGAACGTTACAATTATAATTCAATTTGTCTGTATAATAATTTATAATACAATCCTAAGAGACAAGTGTTATTTTTATAATTAAAATTGTTTTAATTCTTAATAAAGAGTAAAAAATTTAACAAAAAGCCCGCAGGAAAAACCCGCCCCGCCTCGATCCGCTTTTTTAAGCAGGTTAGGCGGAGCAGGCCAACTTAAAGTACCGAGCCGAAAACCTCAGTTCAGCTCGTCAAAAATGGCAGGTCAAACGGGCCAACCCGGTGGGCCCAACCCGTTTTGTCACCCCTACTGAACACCATATATTTTATTAACTTTTACGTTTTGTGTCGTGATAATCACGACACAACATTCATTTTTTGCGTCGTATTATTCACGTGGCAAATTCACATGGTTGGAGGATGTATTTTTTGTAGTGTTTTTAAAAGTCTAAGCCTAGTGTTTTTAATTAAATAGACATTTAAAAAAATCTAAATCTAACTTTTTTATTAAATAGATCTGGCCTAATATGACTTTATGTAGACTAGGCTATAGCTCCCTGTAAAAATATAGAAAAGTTCTATTATTTCTCTTTTTAAATAACCGTCTAAATTTGCAATGTAACAATTAATAAAACAATTATGCATTTTCATATGTAAACATGATCGCTACTTACATTGATGCTATGGTGTTCTAGCACCCACATTTTCAGTAAACATGTTCCTACTTCAATTGATGTAATGGGATTCTAACTCTAACACTCCCGTTTTTAACTTAATTATGAATTTATATGTAAAAAATTAAATTAATAAAATAATGAATATTATGGGGTTCCATTCAAGATATTGGTTAAATATTTAGTATTTAACTTATAATAAAGAAATAAAATAAAATAAAATAAAGGAGTGGTTACTAGTTACTTTGAAGAAAATATGGGTTATGCTTATTTTGAGCTTAGTATTAAAATATAATAAATTAATAAAAATAAAATAATTAAATTATATAAATAATAAATAAATGGATGAAATTACAAAAGTACCCTTCATTTTGACTAAAAATTGTTAAGAGACTTAACATTTTTATATATAAGATTACAAAAACATCCTTCATTTTGGCTCCAAATTTTTTTTTAAGAGATTTAACAATTTTTATATATAAGATCTCTCAAAGTGATATAATGACTTTTGACTCTAAATGAGGTGTGATTTAAATTAACTATATTTCGTATTTAATGTTCGTTTGCAAATAACTAAGTTGGATTCAAAATTATTGAAATGTGTATTTTTGAATTGTTCTCGTATCCAAAAGAATATTGTTGCTTTTTTCCAATATCATGTTATTATTCAATTTAAATTAATGCATGTCTCATTCTTTAAAGATTGTTATTTTTTCTTGAGCCTCAATCGTTCTTGTAAGTATGCGAGTTAAATGATTCTTTCTTAACCTATATCATTACACACGTTGTTCGATCACATCTGATAGAAAATGATAGGAGGTGTAATTAAATATTTTAATTAGTAATATAATGTTAGTTGTTATTTTATCTTAAATATTTTGTTGAATTGGATTTTTAGTAGTGTTTGGGCCTTTAAGTTTATTATCCATTAAAAGTATTATATATTGTAGTCTCATTGAGACATTAGGTATGAATGAAATGAAGAGGAAAAAAAAGAGTCTTTTATCTCCTCTTATTTAATCAGTCAATTGAATGTTCTTCCCTTTTTAATGTAGAAAATCCTAGTTCATAGCTTTGATATGAATCTTCCTATCAATTAGTGCTTTCATCCATGTACTCAAATCCTCATATGGATTATCCTTATCATACACTTTCATTTCCATCTTACCTCTCCACCATAGACACTACTCCTACCACACCCCATTTCCATCTTTCCCATGAGAACTTTTTACACCTTATTACACCCATGTTGCATCTTCATCACCAAATTTATATTTAAATCATGGATATTCACCTCATACTGATTACTCATATCCGTGGAGCATTCCTCCATTTTATTCCACAAACACAACTCTTACTATTACTTCACAAAATTTGTGTTTTCATGGTTATACACCAACTTTCCCACAATCATACACATATCATACACCACCTTCAATACCACTATATTTAACTCATTCACCCATTCCAAATTCAACAGATCTAATGAAAAAGAAACCATGTTAGCTCTCCTCTTTATTGTCTGTTAAGATCGATATACACAAAAGAAAAAAGAAGGATGAACAGAAAAGGAAAAATAGTTTTCAAACCAAAAATTCTGGTGATATTCCCAACCATTTAACCAGCGTCACTGCCAGCGATAACTCCGACGTCACTGCCAGCGATATCTCCGACGAGCAAATTTGGAGAATCACGGGTAGAAATAGACATGCAAGGTCGACAAGAACAAGATTGTTTCCGAAGAGGAACATGTGTTAGAGTTACACAATTGATGGAACTTAATGATTGCTCAATTTTATCAATTGAGGATGAGAAAGAGGAACATGTGTTGGAATTACAGTGACTAATGGAAAACCTAATTTCCCCCCAATTCTCACTACCATGAATTTTACAGTACCTTCACCCCAGAAGTTGCAATTCCTTTCAACCTAGTATCCTCGTTGAAGAAAGATCTTACTCGTAGTGAAATGTTTTCGGCTCTGATTTCTAATCCATTACCAGGGAAGACAATTACAAACACATCCTCAGACAGTGACATGTACAGATTCAGCGAATCATCTATCAAACCTCAACACCTGAACGATGAAGTCTGGTACTATATTTTCTGTGATGGACCTCTCCCTAAGTCCACGGATATTTCATCATCCCTTTTAGAAAGAATGAAGTTCGAGTTTGATTATTGGTATCCATTTGATTTCCATTTTTCCGATAAAGATCTTATCCAAAATCACCTTACCTTTTGCATTTACAGCCATACTGCAGTTATGCCCAAACATCAATGGCCTCGTGGGTTTAGATGCAATGGCCAGATAAATCTCAATAATGAGCAAATGTCCAAGTCCACTGGATATTTCAGAACTATTCGTCAAGCAATTGAGGAGTTTTCTACTGATGCTACATGGTTCACTTTGGATGATGCTGGTGATGACGTCGATGATGCAAATTTTGACTTTGAAAGCAAATGTCGTGATTCTCGATCTCACCAAAGAGCTCGCATGGTTTAAATCAATTTTGCCTGCTGAATCTTCTATGGGAACTGGTCCACCGTCTATTTATGCTGATTGTGTGTTTGCTAAAGAAATCAACATTGTTGTAAGAACACCTTAGCAAAATTACTCCAATTATATGTTTCGAGATGGCAAAAAGACTGGCTTTAATGCTCTTCAGATTGCCAGAAAAAAGTATAAAGTATCATGTGGGGTTGGCGGTATCAATCGTGATTTGGTGTGGCGTTATATGGATGTGCAGACACGCCTTCTAGCACCTATCTGTCCATATTATGCAGAGTTTATTGGGAGAGATTTTGAAGAAGGATGGTTTTATGGTGAAGGCAGGTTGGCCAACAACAGATGAGCTTCAGTCAGTTGTTAGACATGTGAAGAGGGATGTGAAACGGGCTACTCTGAGAATTCTTAATGAAGGTGAACATGGTCATTCCAAGGTCAAGGAAAGGCAAAGGATATTGTTACTAGCGTCTAATTTGCTTGGAAAGCATAATAATGAGCTTGCAACACTTGAGACTTGGGTAATGGGAAGCCATATGAACAAGCTGATGAGATTGAAGTGTCAATGTTGACCCGCTTAATTCTGTACTATGCTGGTTGGGCAGATAAGATTCATGGACTCACAGTTCCAGCGGATGGACCACATCAGATGCATACATTGCATGAACTAATTGGTGTTGCTGGTCAGATCATTCCATGGAATTTTCCTCTTCTCATGTTTGGTTGGAAGGTCGGACCGACATTGGCAGGTGGCGACACTTTTTTCTAAAAACATCTGAGCAGACACCATTGTCTGCTTTGTATGCAACAAAAATATTTCACGAGGCTGGACTTCATTCGGGTGTTTTGAATATAGTGTCTGGTTTTGGTCCAACAGCCGGTGCCGCTCTAGCTAGTCATATGGATGTGGATAAGATTGCTTTTACAGGTTCAACTGCTACTGGAAAAATTATCCTTGAACTAGCTGCTAAAAGAAATTTGAAGGCTGCAACTTTGGAGCTTGGTGGAAAATCTCCCTTTATTGTATGTGAAGATGCTGATGTAGATCAGGCTGTTGAGTTGGCACACTTCGCCTTGTTCTTCGACCAGGGACAATGTTGTTGTGCTGGCTCTCGAACATTTGTACATGATCGTGTATATGATGAGTTTGTTGAGAAACCAAAGGTCCGCACTTTGAAACGTGTTGCTGGAGATCCATTCAAGGCGGGAGTAGAGCAAGGTCCTCAGATATTGTTTGTTGTGGAAGAAACTGCGCCGAGTGGAAATTCAGAGGTGCCTACGTCCGCTGTACCCAACAGTGTATGTGAGAAAATTGATTTTTCAAATTCTGAAGTTTGTGCTACAAATAATCACAGTGACAATTTATTATTCAAGCAATGGAATCTAGGAACAATACCTTTATTCTCATATTGATTTTAGAACCTTGATTACAAGGTTCAAGTGGATCCGACGGCAACGATAGAAGATACAATTAGATATTTTAATTAGTAATATAGTGTTAGTTGTTATTTTACTTTGAATGTTTTGTTGAATTGAGCTTTTAGTAGTGTTTGGGTCTTTAAGTTTATCACCCATTAAAAATATTATATATTGTAGTCTCATTGAGACATTATGTATGAATGAAATGAAAAAAAAAATCTTTTATCTCCCTTTATTTTAATTAGTCAATTTAATATTCCCCTTTTAGTGTAGAAAACCATAGTTCATAACTTTGATAGGAATCTTCCTATCAACATCATCAAGAACTGCATACAAATGTTTGTTCAACACTTCTCACCAAAAGGAAAAATTTGCTTACTCCAAATCAGTATTTTAAAAACCGGACCGGTAATCAAACCAATAAGGGTACTGGGTTACTGGTTCATCGATCAAACTACTGGATTACTGGTCGATATGCATGACTAATTCGAATAACTCGGTTGAATAAATTTATCATTATAACAAATCTATAGATAAAACTCGTCGAACCGAATCATTCGATCTTTAATTTTGTTAGCAGCTAACCAAATTATATAGGCATAGTTAATCAATTATAACATGTATAGCACATAAACCTCACAATATGTTACTAGTAGTTAATCAATTATATATAGGCATAGTTACTTGATGAAGATTGTTTATGGACATTAAATTGATTACGAATCTCACAGTAATCATTGCCACGGATCAATAAAATGAATAATTATACTATTCCACCAATTTCAACAAATAATCATAATTTCTATAAAGTCTACTTAAAAACAAAACAACAACAATAAATCTCAGACAACAACAACATAATCAACAATTTCAACAATTTAATCTTGAACTAACCCTAATTTAATTTTCAACAATTTAATCTCAACAACTTAATATTCAACAATTCCAACAGAACAAAGATAAATGAAAATAGAAGAGTATTGAACCTGGAAGGCTGGAAACAACACTGGAACCAGAACCTGAATGGTGAGCAGTTGGTATGTTGCGGCGGAGAGGACGAACTTGAAGTTGGTGGCGCGGAGGAGTGAACGAAGGTGGTGCGGCGGGGAGAGAGACGGCGACGCGGTGGTGGAGAACGAAACGAAATGGCCAATAGTGGTGACTTCTCGAAACGACGCGGTGGTGTACTTATCGTTATGCTTCTGTTCTGCTATTTTGATTGGAAAATTTTCATTTTTTTTTTAATTTAAAAAACTCAAAACACATCCTTTTGACTTAAATTTTAATTTAAAAAAATAAAAAAACATTTGAACTGTTGGTTTACAAAAACCGTCGATTTTTCGATTTTCAGCGGTCCAACCTGGTTTTCACTGTTTTTCATCGGTCTGACAATGAAACGATTCAGTTATTGGACCAAACTGGTTACTGGCCCGGTTCTTGGTCCGACCGGCCGGTTTGGCCTGATTTTTAAAACACTGCTCCAAATTCCAATCAGGTTGTTGAATATTCTAAAGATTAAAGATACATGTTCCCTTCCATGTAGTAGTTATTTATAACACCATCATCACTAATTATTTATTCAAAGATGCATTGACCAGCATATACATGTTAATGTTAGTGCGTGAGACACTTCTAGTGAGAAGAGAATAAAAAAATAAGAATTTGTATTATTGAATTGTACAAATAATAATATAGATTATTACTATTTATATACAACCCTAATTGGGCTTGGGTCTACACAACTTAGATTATATTTAAATATTTAATCTAATCAAATCTAATCTAATATTTTTACAAAGCTAATTTAATATTTCAACACACCCCCATAATCCAAGTTCTCGAACATACTCTAAAAATAGTTAATCTGAACTACTCCTAAATTCTTTCTCAAATTCAGGAATTTGTTGATCTTCAATCCTTTGGTTAAAATGTCGACCAACTGTGCTTCACTCGAGCAATGCCTTACTTCAAATTCACCTCGATTTACCTTTTCCCTCAAGAAGTGAAACCTTGCTTCGATATGTTTACTTCTTTCATTCAGAACTGGATTCTTCGTCGGATCTTTGGCTGACTTGTTATCAATTTGTAACACAAGAGATTTCTTCACTTCGACCTTCATTTTTTCAAGTACAAATCTGATCCAAATTGCTTGACATGCCGCATAGGATCCTGCTATATATTTAGCTTCACAAGAAGACAATGCCACTGCAGGTTACTTCTTTGAAAACCATGAGATTGGGGCACCAAATACTTGAAAGAAATATCCAGTTGTGCTTCTTCGATCTTCCTTATCTCAAGACCAATCATCATCTGAAAAACAATTAACTATTGCTTCTTTGCTTTTAGAGTCTCGTCGAAATAGTATTCCATAATTTATTGATCCTTTTAAGTATCTTAGGATTCTTCTTGCAACCTTCATGTGTGACACCTTTGGTTCACTCATGTATCTGCTCACTAATTTGACTGTGAAACCTATATCAGGTCGACTGTTGCACACATACCTCAGAGATCTCTCTATTTGCTTGAACAAAGTTACATCAACTTTGTCTTCCTCTCCATTCTTCTCCAATTTCACATTTGGTTCGACAGGTGAGGATGCAGGATTTGAATCATCCATTTTGAATCTCTTGAGTATTTCTTTGACATACTTCCTTTGATGTAACACCATACCTTGCATCGACATTTGAAATTCCACGGCTAGAAAATAAGACAATTTTCCCATATCCGACATTTCAAATTCTTTCGTCATCATCTCTTTGAACTTCGATAAGTTCTCTAAGCTATTTCAAGTTACCAGCAAGTCATCGACATACAAGAAGATGATTGTTATATCATGTGCTACAACCTGAACATAGACACCATACTCTGACTTGCATTTGACAAATCCTAATTTGACTAAGTATGAGTCGATCTTCTTATTCCATGCCCTAGGTGCCTGCTTGAGACTATTGTACCCCAAATATTTTCCTCTCATTTTTCTCAAGACATGCTTTCAAAGGTTCTCAAAATACTCAAGGGTTGACTAGTCAAACCTCCTCCTAAGCAAAGGGTCTACAACTAAGGTTTTGAGTTCCTCAGAGAATTTTGGGTTGAAAAGGCCTCAACTGGTTCCCATTTTTCATCATAGGTCCTCAACAAGGTTCATGTCAAGTTTCAAGTCTTGAATCACAAGTTTGCTCAGTCAATGACTCAGATGATTGAAAATTAATTGTATTAGGTAAAAAGTCAATTGTGGTCAACATAAAGTCAAACTTCAAGAGTTTTGGTCAACATCAACATTTTTAGTTGATATTCATCATTTTATCAAAGGTTGATCATGATTCCCCAAGGAAAGCTCTCAAATCCTCAAAAGTCAAGAATTGTCAAATTAGGGTTTCCTTAGGAGAAGTCAACTGAACTTTGAACAAGCATAACTTTCATATGCTTCATCAACTTTTCCTCAACCAAAGCCCATATTGAAGGAAACTCAATTCTCTACAACTTTGTTTTTACGCTCAGGTCCCAGAAATGCTTCATTTGAAAGATATGAGCTAATACATTATAGGTTATTTTCAAAAATCAACAAAAAACACTTTTGTCAAGGCAACTTACATCAAGATAATGTCTCCAAATGCAAAAATGATCAAAAGAGAAAATGTAGAGGACATATTGTGATTTTTAAAAAGTCCAAGATCATCTTCAAAAGATGAAAATTAAGCAAGTTATGAGCTGCACAAGTTGGGATGTTTTGAAGAAATACATGAAATGCAAAATATGTAAGTTTGAAATTTTGGACTTATGGCTTAACTTTTCAAGTTTTGAACATATTCATGGCCTTATGGAAGACCCCTAAGCTCACTCCCACCATGTATTGAATTTTCTTATTATTTTTTATTTTATTTTGGTTTTATTTAAATAAATACAAAATAAAATTAAATAAAATATGAAGCAAATGGCCCAGGAGCATGGGATGGTTCATTGGAAGTCCATTACAGCTTGTGAAAACCCAGCAATATGCCAAATTCGTGCACAAGCCAAAATGGCAAGAATACTACAAGTTTGGAAAGTTTTCAAATATTTGATTCTTGTTTAAACCATGGTTTGATTGCTTGATACCATTCCATATTGGCTAGCTCATTCATCCCTCTATATAATATAAGCAAATCAGAAGAAAATGGACACGAAACCACTGCCTAAGAGAGAGCTCCAAAATTCACAAAATTCCAAAAAGATTTCAAAATTCGTAACTACATTTTCAGCCGTTGTCAATCCAAACCAAGGGCATAAATCATTTCCTGAAGATCAGAGGGATTATTTCCAACCCTTACACGAGACTGAAACAAGCCAGAAGTTGCCCTTGCATCAACTCTGATTGGTAAGTGGGTAAGCCTTGTTTCTCAAAGTTTATCGTGGTTTAAATGATTATGAGCATGCATGTTTGATTCATATGCTTTTTTTATATTTTTCTAACGCGTTACATGTGAGCGTTGATGCAGAAATAACATGATGCCATAGTTAGGGCATAAAGCATTTTAAGCTTCAGATTTCATGATGCAGAGGTTTTTAGCCCAAACGGACCCTAGATTGGGACTCAAGGGGAAATTTTAAGGGGGGTAGGGTATCTTGTGCATCTTGATTTTGTGTTTCTTGCAGGTTTTGATTTTCTTCTCGTCGGAGAAGATGGTGGAAAACACCGCAAGTGGTGGTTTGAACCATTGAATACCCGCATGGCATATTGGGACATCGTGGTTGGTTCATTCAAATCCATGGGGTCCACTTGGGCGCGTGCATTTTGCTTGCCTGCCATTATTACTTATTTTTAATTATATTGTTTTGTTTTGATTAATGTAACGAATGAACAACACAACCCAGTGGTAGCATGCGTGCTCTTAAGACACACCCTTGCCAGGTCTTGGGTTCGACCCAGGCAGGGAGCAATTTTCATTTTTCTAACTTTTGTTTTACAGATCCAGTGTATACCAGGCCAGCGCGCACATGATGCAATCCACATCTGG